TCAGTATATTTATTGAAGAGTGTTGTTAGTGGCACACACAGTGCATCTGCTCACTCAGGACCCACAGAGAGATGTTATCTGGGCCTACTGCCTTCAAGGTATCTACTTCACTTAGCAAATGCCTCTCTGTCTCCATTGTGAATGTCCCCCTGAATCTTGCTCTGAGCTCCTCACAATTCTTCCTGTTTGCTCTCCTCCTTCCTTCCTCAGCCTGATTACCTGGTCCTTGACTGTCGATCTCTTCCTGATGTGGCTGTATAACAACTTTGGGTCAGATTTGACTTTTGAAGCTGTCATTCTTCTGTTGTCATTGGGCTTCTCTCCTTATACATGCATATTCATTTCTGGCTCTTCAGCTCAACTCTCTGTTTTCCTGAGTCCTTTACCTTCTATACTCTTTCCATGCTCTAGTACACTTGACTTTGGCCTCGCCACACCTCTGGGTAAACCATGGACTCACTCTGGTCTTCCTACTGTTTCTGTTGCTTCTTGGCATAAATTTCTCTGCCTCCCTGCACTTTGCAGTCATATGTTCCATCATTTTGTTTAATGTTTTTCCCTCTATCTTTTTTACCCACTGCACCTAATGCAGGAATTGCCTCATACATGTGTAGTCCCCCTTTTTGAAGTTTGGCTTCTCCAGTCCTTCATGTGCTGCCTCAGTCTTTATTGTTAACTCTACTATGTATTAAAAACTCAGGACCATGTGACTGCTAGCACTGAGGGGAGTTTCGGGTGTTATTTCCCTATGTCTGAACTGTTCAAGGTGAATATGGGGTTCAGCCTTGCTGGGTCATTGTCTCCTCTCTCTCTCTCTGGTTGTGTCCCTAACATGTTGGTACATAAAACTTTCCAGCACTGCCTCCAGCATCTTGGCTGTCCACATCTCTGGTTCCCCATGTGGCTCCAGATTTTCCAAGTTTATCTCCTTTTGGTTGAAATCCTCCATTACATTCCAGATTGTTCCACTTCCTGACAACTCTAACTGAAAAAATACTTCCTAACATCCCTGTGACTCATCTGATTTTTCAGCTTCCAGTTGTGATCCTTTGCTGTTGTGTTCCCTCTCTGAAACATCCTGTACCTATCCACCTTACCGATTCCTCTCAGTATTTTATATGTTATCATGTATCCTCTATCCCTCCTGTCCTCCGATTTTGTCAGGTTGATTTCCCTTGACCTCTCCCCATAGGACATACCCCTTAGCTCCAGGACTAGTCTTGTTGTAAACCTTTGCACTGTCTCTAATTTCTTTAAGTGCTTGACCAGGTGTAGGTTCCATACTGGTGCTGCATACTCCAAAAGGGGCCTAACATGCACAGTGTACAGAGTCTTAAATGATTCCTTAATCAGGCATCAAAATGCTATTCTTAGGTTTGCCAGGTGCCCATATGCTGAAGCAGTTATTTGGCTGATGTGCACCTCAGATGGGGTGAGTATCATACAGAGCACAAGATCTTTTCCTTGAGCACGGTTTGCAGTCTTTTGGTCCCTTAGCATGTACTCTGTGTGCAGTCTTCTTTGACCTTCCCCAATCTTCATGGCTTTGCACTTGGTGGGGTTAAACTCCAGGAGCCAGTTTCTGGACCAGTCTTGTAGCCTGTTCAGATCCCTCTGTATTCCTACCTGATCCTCATCCACTTGAATTCTCCACATTAGCTTCACGTTGTTTGAAAATAGGGATACCTCTGAATCTATTCCTTCCATCATATCATTCATATACGTATACCAGAAACAGCACCGGTCCTAGAACCGACCCTTATGGAACCCCATCTGTCAAAGGCACCCAGTTTGATACCTCATCATGTACCATCACTCATTGTTTCTTTCCTGTCAGGTATTCTCTGATCCATTGCTGCTATTCCTACCTGCTCCTCGAAGCTTTTGCACTAATCTTGTGGGTAGGTTTAGTGTTTTTTTTTATTATAATTGTGTGTGCATGCGTTCATGTGTGCATGTGTGCGTGTGTGTGTGTGTGTGTGTGTGTGTGTGTGTGTGTGTGTGTGTGTGTGTGTGTGTGTACTCACCTATTTGTACTCACCTATTTGTGGTTGCAGGGGTCGAGTCCTAGCTCCTGGCCCTGCCTCTTCACCGGTTGCTACTAGGCCCTCTCTCTCCCCGCTCCATGAGCTTTATCAAACCTCGTCTTAAAACTGTGTATGGTTCCTGCCTCCACTACGTCATTTTCTAGGCTATTCCACTGCCTTACAACTCTATGACTGAAGAAATACTTCCTACTATCTCTCTGACTCATTTGTGTCTTCAACTTCCAATTGTGGCCTCTTGTTTCTGTGTCCCCTCCCTGGAACATCCTGTCTTTGTCCACCTTGTCTATTCCACGCAGTATTTTATATGTCGTTATCATGTCTCCCCTGACCCTCCTGTCCTCCAGTGTGGTCAGGCCGATTTCCCTTAATCTTTCCTCATAGGACATTCCCCTTAGCTCTGGAACTAACCTTGTCGCAAACCTTTGTACTTTCTCTAGTTTCTTGACGTGCTTTATCAAGTGCGGGTTCCAAACAGGTGCTGCATACTCCAGTACGGGCCTGACATACACAGTGTACAGTGTCTTGAATGATTCCTTATTAAGGTATCGGAATGCTGTTCTCAGGTTTGCCAGGCGCCCATATGCTGCAGCAGTTATCTGATTGATGTGTGCTTCCGGAGACATGCTCGGTGTTATACTCACCCCAAGATCTTTCTCCTTGAGTGAGGTTTGCAGTCTTTGGCCACCTAGCCTATACTCTGTCTGTGGTCTTCTGTGCCCCTCCCCCATCTTCATGACTTTGCATTTGGCAGGATTAAATTCGAGAAGCCATTTGCTGGACCAGGTGTCCAGTCTGTCCAGGTCTCTTTGAAGTTCTGCCTGGTCCTCATCAGATTTAATTCTCCTCATTAACTTCACATCATCTGCAAACAGGGACACTTCTGAGTCTAACCCTTCCGTCATGTCGTTCACATATACCAAAAATAGCACTGTGTGTGTGTGTATGTGTGTGTGTGTGTGTGTGTGTGTGTGTGTGTGTGTGTGTGTGTGTGTGTGTGTGTGTGTGTGTATGTGTGTGTGTGTGTGTGTGTGTGTGTGTGGTGTGTGTGTGTGTGTGTGTGTGTGTGTGTGTGTGTGTGTGTGTGTGTGTGTGTGTGTGTGTGTGTGCATGTGTGTGTGTGTGTGCATGTGTGGTGTGTGTGTGCATGTGTGTGTGTGTGTGTGCATGTGTGTATGCATGTGTGTGTGTGTGTGCATGTGTGTGTGTGTACTCACCTAATTGTGGTTGCAGGGGTCGAGACTCAGCTCCTGGCCCCTGTGTGTGCATGTGGTTGTGTGTGTGTGTGTGTGTGTGTGTGTGTGTGTGTGTGTGGTATGTGTGTGTATGTGTGTGTGTGTGGTGTGTGTGTGTGTGTGTGTGTGTGTGTGTGTGTGTGTGTGTGTGTGTGTGTGTGTGTGTGTACTCACCTAGTTTACTCTCCTAGTTGTGGTTACAGGGGTCGATTCATAGCTTCTGGCCCCGCCTCTTCACTGGCCGCTAATAGGTCACTCTCCATGCACCATGAGCTTTATCATGCCTCTGCTTAAAGCTATGAATGGATCCTTCCTCCACTACATGTGTGTGTGTGTGTGTGTGTGTAAACTCACCTATTTTTGGTTGCAGGGGTTGATTCATAGTTCCTGGCCCTGCATCTTCAGTGGTCGTGTGTGTGTGTGTGTGTGTTTTTTTTGTTTGTTTGTTTGTTTGTGTGTGTGTGTGTGTGTGTGTGTGTGTGTGTGTGTGTGTGTCTGTCTGTCTGTCTATGTCTTAGTATATTTACAGTACAGTAGGATCCCTGTATCTGTGGGGGATATGTTCCAAGCATGTGCCGTGGATACCAAAACCGTGGATAGTAGCAAACCTTATATATTAGTCCTATACATACCTATTATAAAGTTTAATTGATCAGTTATGCACAATAAGTGGAGAATTATCACTTTTTCACTGATGGGAAGCACTTCACGGCTTCTCTTAGGCTTTGAAGAATTGCCAACTTTTCTACTTTTGTGCTTTGGGGCTGTTATTATGCAAAATTAAGAGGTATTGTTAGGTTACAGAAAACCGTGGATAATTGAAACCACAGATACTGAATCAATGGATACGGGGATTCTACTGTATAATGAAATTCATTCCTTGTTATAATTCCAAATTATGGAATTATATTACAGTGTATTGTAGCAATAAATTACTATACAAATGTAAAATTAATTTAAGAGATACAGATGATTCACTAGCAGTTTAAACCTCTATGAGGGTGTCATTTACAACAAGTGTGTTCATCAAGCCTGAGATGCCACAGTGCTGCATCATTCAGATTTATAGTATTTTTTCCCAGAACTAAACTGAACAGTAACAAAAAACATTCATATGTAAATCTGGTTATCACAATACACATATCTCCCCATCATGCTAGAAATATGTCTGCATCTGCTGTTATACTAACATCTACTGTACAGTACAGCACAACCAATTATTCATTTCTGATGTATGTGTTTACTGCTTTTAATGCCAACTAAGTATACAATATTTCTATATTTATGATATGTACATGAAAGTTTTTATCATTTAAGAACTATGTAATGTGATTGTTCAACTGATCTCTTTGTACTCTGGTTTGTCTGCCTTGTGTTTGGTTTGTCTGCCCTGTGTTTGGTTTGCACCTTTGCTGGGGCTAGCTAGTGTAGCTGTGTATGAACCATTTAGTTATATTTACTGCAGCTATATTGTGCTCTCATATTGCTACTCCAACTGAGGAAATCTAACCACATCCTTCATCTGTCTTCATATTATTTAGTACAAGCTGCTTTTTCTTTAAGCAAAGTTTCTTTCATTTACCAGCATTCTCTTCATTTTATATTTGTGGTTAATTACCTGTTTTGGTGATAAGACATTTTTCTTCTATCTGCAACAAATACAGTACTATATTTTTAAGTCTAAAATGTTTGACAAATTAACTCATTCTTTTCTCTGCAGATTGAAGGACCTCGACACCACAAGAAAAATTCCATTGTGAGCGCAGAGACATCAGTGTAGGGAAGTATACCACTAATATGTGACAATATTTGAGAGGAAGAGGAAAAAAAGTGCAGCATAGAGCAAGAGAATCTACTTGGCAACACTATAGGTGTGCAAGACTGTATTTACAAAGGTGAAGTATATATACAACTTTTGCTGGTTGAAAACTAAAGTATAATGGTTATGAAATAAATATTTATAAAATTCACTACAAAGCCTAGATGCATCCAGAATACAATAAATTAAAGTGTAAGTGTTTACACAGAACACTGCATTATTAATGAATTGTATAAAACCAGCTGCACTTACAGTCAAGGTTCCTTGCAAATAAATATGTTTAACATGAGGAATGAAATATAAAGTGCCAGTGAGATATTTTATTTAAATCATCTGTGTCAACATCTCATACTCTAACTCAAAATTAAGGTTTATTTTATAAATGGAAGAGTAACTTATCATTGTTCATTTGCATGATATAAATTTTGTGAATGTCAGTAGAAATTAAGAGCACTTTGTAACATAGTATAGGTTTCATTATTTAACTATTATGGGACCCAAAGTACTGTTGGATAATTGACACAGTCTATTATTAGTATGCAATACTATTTACATTATACTATAAATGTGTTTAAGATGCCTCTCAGAGTCCCATTTTTTTACCATTCCCAGGCCAAAATATATAACACCTATATTATGCATATGGGAGCAAGAGGCTAGTAACCCCTTCTCCTGTATAAATTACTAAATTTAAAAAAGAAAAACTTTCACTTTTCTTTTTTTAGCTCACCCTGCCTTGGTGGGATATGGCTGGTTTGTTTGGAAAAAAAATGTATATCATTACAGTCATTACTGTATTATAAAACCAAAATACAAAAATATATTTCATTCGTAGTTGACACACTTGACATTGTCCATGGTTGGATGCTTGTTATTGTATCCAGTTAAGAGTCATTAATAAAAGTTGGAAAGCTTAACTAGTCAGAAGTTGCATTAAAGAACATTTAGTGTACTGCAAAGTATTCTGCTATGAAAATGTCTTATTCAAAATCAGTAACTTTCCTTATTCTTAACTACTAATGTCATAATTTTTAATGTTAGTATACAATACAGAACATTCACATATATTTAAGTTACAGTACATTTACTTCTACTTACATTAGAAATTAAATACCTCCAAGTACAGTTTGACAATTACATTTTTACAATATATACCAAAGAAGGTTTTATGATGGTATGGCTACTGCAGTGATGTGGTAGCTTTTCTTTTACAGTACAAGAAATGCCCATATATGTTGAGAGGATAAGGTTCAGATCTGCATAATAAAATAAATAAATGAAGCTGAAAATTAATGCTAAGTTTAAGAGTATCATAAACTACCAAATGCAAGTGACCATGTGTGCCCAGAGAACACAGCCGTTAGTATTTGTAACTAAGGAAGAACTGTCTCTGATCATACTTGCACCTTGTTTAGAGTTGCTTTCATGGATTGTTGATAATAACCTACCTGCTGCCTACATCTTGCTGAACAGTGCTTTTGTGACTCATCAGCGCTAACCTACCTGCTACCATTAATTAATAATGTACAGTGGTACCTCAGGATACGAACTTAATTCATTCCAGAAGGCTGTTCGAGTGCCAATACCAAACGAATTTGTTCCCATAAGGAATAATGTATATTAGATTAATTCATTTCAGACCCCCAAAAATACACTTACAAAAAGCACTTACATAAATACACTTACATAATTGTTCGAGTTTTGAGCTGTTTGTATCCTGAGGTACCACTGTACAGTACATTAAAACAAGTTATCAGTTTTAATATTGTTACAGTATAAAATTTTACAATTTTCATTTCTTTATGCAACATAAATAATGTGGTTTACATGTAATAAAGCATTAGTAGGCACAAGAGAAAGTCACTAATTATGCAATGTATTTTAAGCAGCCAGGAATTACAAAATATCTCACCATTTATAATTTACACTCTACTGAAGTGTATTTATAATGTGCTTTATCTTACATGTAAAGTAAATTTACAAAAAAAGAAAAAAAGAAAAATGAATCTTAAAAATATGAAGGCTAATTTTGAATAACTGGATATCAAATAAAGTGTGAAAATTGAATGATGCATAAATTTTTATTGCATAGTTTTCATTGAATAATTATCAACCACACAAAATGTATGAAAGTATTATGTAATATGTAATTATGTTGTGTATAAGCTAAGCTGAGTGACTGGCAAGTGAAGGTTGTTCGTGTGCACTACACCTGTTGTCTCATGTTTCCTTCACTTTATATTCTTATATAACATGCTGCACCTTGGAATTGTCTTTCAATTGACAGTCTCATTGTACTCAATTAATTAATGCTATTAATGCTGTTTGTAATGATCTACATGTAATATAAATACTGTACAGTATTTGCAACAATCCATTCCCTTTTTTATATTTCTGTTACAGTAAAGTGAAAAATTGCTAATGACAGACCTTTCATGAGAATTTTTTTTGTCATATACCATAACGGTTCTTACCTAGATACTGCTTATAATATATAAAATATATCACCAAGTGATAATTGTATAAATGAAGCCTCAGTTTCAAAAGTGAAAGATTTTTATTGGTATATCTGATGTCTTGTTCACTTGCAAATTTGTACAAGATATTTATTCTACAAAGAATTTCAAAATATGTACTGTACTATGAAAGAAGCAGCTACCATATGAACTTTCTGCAGATGTACTCTGTATACACTAAAAACATGCACAATTTAACTACTCTACATATTTACAGTACTTTATAACTTTCATTACCAATTGTTCACTCATTTTCTCAATATCATTCACAAGCTGACTGATCATTGTACCTCTCACTGAAAGTAAATCTTAACATACAACATTTAAAAACAAAATTCAGTTTTAACTTGGTTATGATCCTTTTCAGCTGACAACTTGGCTAATCTACAATACAGGACATTAAAAGGCTGTGTGTCGTAGTCTATATTGGATGAACTTTGATTTAATGTATATTGGTGCAAGTAGATTATTCTTAAAATGCTTCAGATGTTATATTAAAGTGCACTGTGACTCAAGTTATTTCCATAATTTCATACAATGATATAACTATCCCACTAGTAATGTGCCTGAACTTCTGCACTTGTTGTGCAAAATTTGGTTATTAATGGAGAAAAGTGAAGGTGTATTTTACATGTAGAATGTAATTAGAGTAAATAAACATCAGAAGGAAAATACTGTATTATATATGGAAGATGGAAATGTGTTTAACAATTCAGTTTTTGGTTGTGTCAAGTTGCAGCCCAAGTGGGGTTATAGGAGAGGTTTTAAAGTGTTAGTATAACAAGCAGTGTGGTAATTTTCTCTCTTTTTAAACATGTGTATTCTTTTATGAATAACTAGAATTAATTTATATATGATGTAGCCCTTAGTGTGTTAAGACAGTTAAGATATCCAGGAAGAAGGACTAAAGTACAGTGCATCATAGGCAGTGTATATTTAAGCTGCAGTAAGAAACACCAACTTGTTACATTCAGCTGCAGCAAGGAGCACTGACTTATTAAGTATCCTGGACAGAGTGAAAAGTACTGACTATTCTATGGTTAATACAAAATAAAGAGGGGCCTCAAATTGAAGCTTGTTCATTGTGATTCTCAACAAGATACCTTATAAATGAAGAGAAGCTCTTATAATCAAAGGCTCCCAAAAATAAATTAAAAGCTATGAATTCGTGCATTTTTTAAGAAAAATAAAATAAATTTAAACTTTGCTATTTGGCTTGTTTAACATTTCCTGAGGTCCAGTATGAGTATTTATATCAAAGGGTCTCAGGGAAATCATTCTTGTGCCCCTGTGTAATCCTAACCTCACTAATTAGGAGAACCTTGCATTTATACAATGATTTGCTCATAATAAGAATAATATAGCATAGTGCTACTGAGCACTGTAACATTGTTGTAAATATGCATAAGTAGGTAACTTGTAACAAAGGCCATCACAGTATTCCGTCAATTGGTGTTATGAATTTTTTATATAAATTGTCCCCTCTTATTATGGTATAGACTTTTCCTTTTTCTACATACCAAATGTTATTGTATATTATTATGCTATAATGAACAGCAGAAGTTTCTGGTTATAGAAGGGTGGGTGTAGGCAGGGATAGAAATGATGAGGTAAGGAAGGTAACAAGGGAGAAAAAAGTTAGTATGCTACAGTTTTTACATTATAAAAATGATACGTGGAGGGCAGGGTATATGGAGAGAAAAAGAGAATGCAGAGCATTTCTGGGGAAATGGACTTGCCTTTTAAAAATTAAAGAGAGGAGATGTAGGATGGGGAGAAGGAGATATTGGACAGATTCTGAGAGTATTTTCAGGACTTGTTAATTGTTGATGATGAAAGGGAGGTGGTGATATGCCTGAGTATAAAGGAATAATATCTGGAAGAAGTTAGGAAGGATCAGTGGTGAATGTGGGGAAAATACATGAGGCAATGGGTAGAATGAAAGGAGGTAAAGCAGCTGGGACAGATAGGATTAACCTTAAGACTAAGATGTTAAAAACATTCGGAGATATAGTTTTGGAGTAGCTGGTGTATTTATTCATTAGGGACCTGAGCATCAAGCAGATGTATGAGTAAGCATGTGAGATCTTGGCAGGTGGAGACAAGTTGTTTTAGGGATTTGATATGCTGCTGGAGTTTGAGTAAGGTAGTATTTATGAAGGGATTCAGGAAAAATAGTTACCCTGACTTGAGTCCTGGAAGTGGAAAATACAGTGCCTGCACTCTGAAGGAGTGGGAATGTTGCAGCTAGAGGTTTATTTGAATTGTGATGCCTGCACACTCCTGGCAAGAGAACTATTGAATGAATGGTGTGAATGTTTCTTTTTTTTCTTGGATCACCTTACCTTGGTGGCAGGCAGCACATGTGGTCAAAAAATATTTTTAATTTCTTTAAGGACTTCAGTATTTTTAGATGTGAAAAAGAATATTAAAGAATGCAAATATTTGTCTAAGTAGAATACATGAACAAATTCTACATTAAATATTCTCAAATAATAAGTAAAGTAAAACCATATTGTAATATTTTTTTGATAATCTCTAAGGACTAAATGGTGTGTGACTTTTGCACTCAAATGCAGGTCACTAATTTATAATTTGCCTAGAGTCTCAAAAATTAAGACAAGTTTTTAGGTTTTGCTTTTGGAAAACTTTGCTAATTAGTATACATGTGCTAATCAGAAGCAGAAAAGTTCACTACTTTAAATCCTTATATCTAAGGCTGTGGAAGGTACTTAACCCTTAAACTGTCCACACGTAGATATACGTTCATGTGCGGCAGACTCCGAACGTAGATCAATGTTTAATTTTTCATTCCTTCAAATTTGGTGCGATAGGTCTGAGTCGCCTAGACATGAAAGAATGGGTCTGTGCACTCAGTGTGCACACTATGAAAAAGATCTGGGAGCACTCAGTACCTTGTGGGAGCACCAGTTCAACTGAGCGCCAGCTAGAGCAAATATTGGGGCAAACACCAGGGATTCACTGATGTTATGTCATATTAACACTCACATTTTAAGAGGAAAGTAAAAATAGGTTAGATAAATGCATGAGTGGTTGTGGGTGGGTGTGAGTTGGACCTGACTAGCTTGTGCTACTAAGTCAGATGTTGTGCTCCTTCTTTCAGTGGATGTGACCTGACTAGGTGGGTCATGGGCCATTGGTCTAAGTTGGGGGTGACATGGACTTGCTTTGCATGGGCCAGTAGGCCTGCTGTAGTGTTCCTTCTTTCTTATGTTCTTATATATTCAGCTGGCTAGCTGGCTAGCTTTGGCTGTCTCTGTCTGTATCTGTCTATATCTCTGTCTATCTGTCTATATCTCTGTCTATATCACTGCCTATTTGTATCTCTCTCTCTCTCACATGTACTCATAAATACAGTTATTATACATAATGTAAATTACCTAGGATAACCCAGAAATTTCAGGCCACGTGCTATACAGTGTTTGTAGATGTAAGACATAACAAATAATAGCAGTGTCACTTGCTCAGCAATCAGGAAGCCGCACATACACCGCAAACCAACAGGTTTACTAGCCACTCCCTGAGACAGAGACAAGCAGATGGAAAGACAGACACACACAGGCAGACAGAAAGACAGATAAGCAGAACTAGACAGACAGATAAGCAGAGCTAGGCAGACAGACAGATAGATGTACAGATAGACAGATAGATGTACAGATAGACAGACAGATAGATGTACAGATAGACAGACAGATAGATGTACAGATAGACAGACAGATAGATGTACAGATAGACAGACAGGTAGATGTACAGGTAGACAGACAGATAGACAGACTGACAGACTGACAGACAGACAGACATACAGAGACATGTTTGTGTGCAAGAGTGAAAACATATAAAGGCAAGGTTCCCCCTCCAGCAGTGCACATTCATCAAATGTCACTGTTATTCAATGCTGTCATAACACAATTATTCAAGGAGCTCATATTACACTCCAGCCACACACAGAAGACAGAAAGACAGATAAGCTGAACTAGGCAGACAGATAGACAGACAGACAGATAGGCAAATAGACAGATAGATGTACAGAAAGACAGATGTACAGATAGACAGACAGATGTACAGATAGACAGACAGACAGATGTGCAGATAGACAGATAGATGTACAGATAGACAGACAGATAGATGTACAGATAGACAGATGTACAGATAGACAGACAGATAGATGTGCAGATAGACAGATAGACAGACAGATAGATGTGCAGATAGACAGATAGATGTACAGATAGACAGACAGATAGATGTACAGATAGACAGACAGGCAGACAGACAGTCAGGCAAACAGATAGATTGACAGACAGACATACAGAGACATGTTTGTGTGCAAGAGTAAAAACATATAAAGGCAAGGTTTCCCCTCCAGTAGGGCACATTCTGACCCTTAGCATAACACCATGCTTCAAGGAGGTTCATACTCCAGCGTGTCTAAAACATTGCTGGGATCTATAAATACTTTGTATATATTTCTAGACAATAGTAAATGACCAGGGCAGGTAAAAATGTTCACCTGTCAGTGTGAAAATCAATTTAAGACTCTTCTCAAAAGCCACTTAATCACCCTAGACTAAATGCTAAATACTCAGTACACATTTACTCACTTATGTACTCCCACATTATAACTTCAACAATCACTTTGAACCTTTTATCCATTGTTGACAGGAATATAATTCAATCATTGTTTTCACAAAAAGCATTTTTGAATATATGAATAAATCTTTTGTCTTATACAAATTATGATTCACTTATAATTAATAATCTACTGTACAACTATGAAATAATTACTATCCTACTGTACAACTATGATATAATCCTTAGTGTTAAGTAGTCTGTAAGCCAATAATGTTAAGTTGGTCCATAATGCCTAGGCATAATAGAGGCTCTCTTTGCATTGCAACCCACTATTGTAAATACAAAATCTCAATGTACTGTTTGCAAAGACATAAAATAAATAAATAAATAAATAAATAAATTTGAGTACTAACACAAAATAAATAAATAAATAAATAAATAAATTTGAGTACTATTTTAGTACATAATATTAGTATCAGAACAAAGATTGGCTATGAAGTCACAAGAACTATTATAAATTGTAATTATCAGAACATAAAAATTATATAAATTAAAATAAAAACGAGAAAAAAGGCAAATCGGCAACACCTGCAAGCGGCAGGACTGGATGTTGCCGTTAGGTGAGCATCCAGAGCCAACTTCACAGTCTTATATCTCGGTAAGTACTGGTCCTAAAAATTTTTTTTTTTTTGGTCTTATACCACACAGAAAGTACCCCTCTTTAATTTAAGAACGAAAATCGATTTTTTTATTTTTCAAAATATTCGGAGTGCCACGTAGGCGAACGTAGATCTACGTTTGGACAGTTTAAGGGTTAGGTAAATACAGCTGCTCTTATGAGTTTTCATGAAAAATATAATAACTACTGCACACATCTTCTATGGTAAAGCAGAAAAATTACCATATAATAGTTGCATGAATGAACAAATACAGTGGATGTAATTACAAGTTAATTATAAGGATTACATTGTTCCTAATTGAAGGTATCAAGAGCATGTGTGTGTTATATACAGTATTGTACATGTATATTGTTCTGCTGCACAAATACTGCACAATCTTGATAATCCAGAACCTTCATTGCCAAGTACAGTGGAACCTTGGTTTTCGTATGCCATGGTTTTAGTAGGATTCGGTTTTCGATGACTTTTTTTGTCTAAATTTTGTCCCAGTTTCCGTATATCCGCTCGATTTTCATAGAGTTGACAATGGTCTGTACCAGATGTGTCTGCCTGCCTGCACTGACTTTTTTTGTCTAAATTTTGTCCCAGTTTCCGTATATCCGCTCGATTTTCATAGAGTTGACAATGGTCTGTACCAGATGTGTCTGCCTGCCTGCACCCACAGAAAACATTCCACACACTCTGACTCGGTCTGGCATTGTTTCTCATTGAGTGAACATTACCCTGCATGTTCGGATAACATTTTGTAATCATTGTTTTTTGTGCTTGTTTATTGAGTGCGACTACTGAATAAGCCACCATGGGGGCCAAAGAAAGTTCTGAGTGCCAGCCCTTTGATAAAGAAGGCGAGAAACACGACAGAATTCAAGAAAGAACTCATAGCAAAGTACGAAAGTGGTGTATGTGTGGCCAATCTCGCCAGGATGCGCAGGAAGTCCTCAACAATGATCAGTTCCATCCTGGTGAAGAAAAAAGAAATTAAGGAAGCTGATGTTGCAAAAAGGATAAATGTGCTAACGAAACAGAGATCGCAAACATTCGAAGATGTTGAGAAGTTTTTGTTGGTGTGGATCAATGAAAAACAGTTAGTGGGAGATAGTGTCCAGGTGGAAGAGTTGGTGGATGACCACAGGGAAGAGCTAACCACTGAAGAGCTGCAAGGCCTTCAACTAGAACAGCAACATACTGCAGCTGAGGAAATTGCTTCAGAGGAGGAAGAGAGAGAGGGGAGAATGTGCCTTCTTCAGTACTCACCTAATTGTGGTTGCAGGGGTTGAGACTCAGCTCTTGGCCCCGCCTCCTCACTGATCGCTACTAGGTGCTCTCTCTCTCTCTCTCTGCTTCCAGAGCTTTGTCATACCTCGTCTTAAAGCTATGTATGGTTCCTGCCTCCACTACATCACTTGTTAGGCTATTCCACTTCCTGACGACTCTACGACTGAAGAAATACTTCCTAACATCCCTCTGACTCGTCTGAGTCTTCAGTTTCCAGACGAGTCAGAGGGATGTTGGGAAGTATTTCTTCAGTCAGTGATTAAGGACATGTGTTTACCTGGAGTTTACCTGGAGAGAGTTCCGGGGGTCAATGCCCCCGTGGCCCGGTCTGTGACCAGGCCTAAGTGTGTGCAGAGTGGAATGAGTTGCAGAGTTTTGTGGAGAAATATCACTCTAACAAAGCTGTTGCAAGCCATGTCTGCAACATGTTCAATGACAATGACTTGTCCCATTTTAGGCAAATCTTACAGAGAGGCCAGAAACAGGCCTCTCAGGACAGATTTTTTGTGCAATAGGGGTTCAGTGACTCTCAAGCTGGTCCTATTGTCAGTAAAAGACAAAGAAGGGAAGTAACACCAGATAGGGCCTTGATATCTGAAGTCCTTATGGAGGGGGATTCCCCTTTCAAACAGTAACCTCTCCTCCTCCCTCTCCCCTCCTCGCCGTCTTCCATACACCAAGAAGAGTCTTCAGTAAAGGTAAAAGTGATGTTAAATGTTCATTTATCCATTTCATTAGTCATTTATATTTCTTATTGTTTTTCTGCATGTAAAACTATAGTTATTGTCTATAAATGTATTTTTTGTTAATATTTTTGGGTGTTTGGAATGGATTAATTGGATTTACATTATTTCTTATGGAAAATATTGCTTCACTTTTCGTACAATTCGGTTTTCATCAGACTTTCTGAAACGAATTAATCACGAAAACTGAGGTTCCACTGTAGTTTTCAAACCAAAGAACTTACCAGATTATAGATACATAATAATGTATTGTACACTCACATACAGTATAGGGATGACTGGGCATAAGTGCACTCTTGCATCACTGCAATTTCCAAACACTGTGCAAGTGCTCTTTTGCTAGCAGAGTACATGTCTGCCAAGATACTTATGAAGAAAAGGTGACATTTTATGTTTATTTAATACTGAATATGATGCAACAGAAAATTTTGCAGGTAACAAGATGTGGCAACTGTCACATGGTAACAGTTACAGCAGTAATGTGATGTTGTGAGAGATATTACATTAACCTCAGTTAGTACAAATATTTTACAATTAAATCATGTACACTGATGCACTGTACACAAACATTATAAGATGTAAGGCTATGATTTAACAAAGTAAAGAAAAACATACTGTATATATCTATGTTAACAGAAATACATATTTTAGTTTTAAATGCAAATTGATAAATATTATTATTTAAAAACACATACTCCTACCAAAAATATGCAAAAACATATTTCTGAGCTTTTACCCTCCCATTGTAACCTCTTCCCTCATCACTTTCACTCACTCTTGTATTTAAATAATTTTGCCATTAAAAATCAGAAAAAGAAGTAAACCTTTAAAAAAAAAGAAATAATATGATTTTTTTACTGTTTTTATTTTATTTTTACCATGTGTGCATCAGGTGTAATGACACAACTTAAATTTCTACAACAATCCAGTAAACTAATTGTCAGGTCCTCATGAAACTGATTATGCAGAGCATTTCTGGCAGATTAAATCTTAAAAACTAGGACAACTTAACACTAGTAAATGATTAAAAATTAGGAGAGAACAGGTGGCAGATAATGGCAATTGTGGTGGATACAGATGAGATTATTTTGCCATGAGTGTAATCATTATGAACAATTCTTCAAACAATGAAGATGTTCTTCCATCCAGTGTCTTTTTTTTTTCAATTCAGTACAAAGACCAGAGACATATACATATACAACACATATATGTACTCACCTAGTTGTGGTTGCAGGGGTCAAGTCATAGCTCCTGGCCCTGCCTCTTCACTGGCCGCTACTGGTGTGTAGGTGTGTGTACATGTGTACTCACCTATTTTCACCTATTTGTAACTGCAGGTGTCAATTCACAGCTCCTGGCCTCATGCTAGTGTGTGTGTGTGTGTGTGTGTGTGTGTGTGTGTGCATGCATGCATGTGTGTGTGCATGCATGCATGTATGCGTGTGCATGCATGCTTACCTATTTGTGGTTGCAGGAGTCAAGTCACAGATCCTGGCCCTGCCTCTTCACTGGTCACTACTAGGTCCACTCTCTCCCTGCTCCATGTGTTGTATTGTACCTCTTCTTAAAGCTGTGTATGGATCCTGCCTCCACTACATCACTCTCCAGATTGTCATACTTTCTGACAACTCTATTACTGAAAAAATACTTCCTAACATCCCTGTGACTCATCTGAGTTTTCAACTTCCAGTTGTGACCCCTTGTTGCTGTGTCCCATCTCTGAAACCTCCCGTCCATATCCACCTTATCAATTCTTCCTGGTATTTTATGTTATCATGCTCCTCGTATCCCTCCTGTCCTCCAGTGTTGTCAGGTTGATTTCCCTAAACCTTTCCTCATAGGGCATACCCCATATTTCTAGGACTAGTCTTGTTGCAAACCTTTGCACTTCCTCTAATTTCTTGATGTACTCTTGACATATTTGTGCGTTGGCATGCATGCATGCATGCATCTGTGTGTCTGTTTTGCCTATGTCAGTCTCTGTCATTTTTGTATGGAATTAAAAAACCCACTGGTTGTCAAAACATTTTCAAATAAAGGTACCCAGGTGTTGTATGTGTCTAATTCCTGATGTTTTCAATACTGTATACCTTCATTGGGATGATAATTTATTGTCAACCAAGATGTGGTTATGCAAAGAGGAACCAGTAAAACTCTGGATTACTGAGATTGCACTGTATCAGTATTAAGTTACTTGCAACAATGCAAGTAGAAAATTAACCTTTGTGCAATATTATATAGCAGTAAATAATAAAAAGTACTCCATTTTAGTAAACTTATGTATATTTTTGCTAAATCTCTAACACAAACTGGTGTAATTGGATAGTCCATTTTCAGATCATAAAAACAAATATTAACTGTTTTTTTAATACATTCTTAAATATTATAGTATGTACAATAAGTACATTCTCTTAATTATTAGAAGAGTTTCATAAGAAAACAGAAATCATACTGTGTGACAAAATATAACTGATCAAACATAAAAATATTACAATAAATAATGATGGCCTAAAAAACATGGTTTGAAACCCAGCACATAACAAAAAATTCCCTTTTCAGTGCAACATTAGACTCATCATACTTGAAAATTGTCAGCATCATTCCTTCTGTATAATGGATTGTGCTCTAAACAAATGTTACACCTTCAAATACAGTAAAAAAGAAAAAACTTCATTTAATGGACCTTCATTTAACAGATTTCAGAAACAACTCACTGGGTACAGAATTGTCCTTTTTTCTTACTGTCCTGTATTTAGGGTTTTCTTAGTGTCTTACCAGCTGCAGTCATATGTGATCAGACAATCTCCCCACCATTAGTCCACTAAATCAAGGTTTTATTCTACCTATAAGGTACAGATTTAAGCCAAAGTTTATCAAACCTAATACTCCATTGTCTCATTGACAATGAAAAGACAACAGTACTTTATTTGCATATAGCACAATTTTCCTATAAGAAATTATATTATTATAATTAAAAGAAAAAAAATTCACAACACCTTTGCTCATATACATGTGATATTAAGAGGAACAATGTGTCTTCGACTTCTGCAATAACCTAGTGTGTCATATACTTTACTGTGTGCATGACAGCCATCAGCCACCAACTAAACAGTAATAGTAATAACAAACTATTGTGCATATGTGTAAATGTATGTATATATATATATTGTGTGTGTGTGTGTGTGTGTGTGTGTGTATTACTGTATCTATTCCTTATAACCACATTATTTTAATTTTCCATTTCACAAGACTTATTACTTGTCATACCTTTCAAAGTTAACTGACTTGCACAAGTTAAAGGAAAACTGTAGTTAGGTCAGTAAGTTAGTACTGTGTAGTGTGTGGTCATTCATATAGTGCTTCATTACTGTAGCCTTTTTCATGAGCTTGCAAATTATGCCCATTTAGAATAAGTGACTGTAAACTGCTTTTAAAATTAATACAACCCATTTGATTTGTAAGTTAGATGCCAGGATCAACTACTCTTTTTGTAAATATCAAAATCTTGCTTAAGAAATATAAAATTTAAATACTTCTTTATTTATAAACTGTATATAAAACAAATTGAACAAACTATGTAATTGTGTTAACATTTACTAAAATAATGTTCTGATAGGATTGCACATTTCTATTTTTCTATTTTACATCCAGGAATGAAGTCTGCTTGCTTGGGAAACATTATTGAAAATTACAATGCAGTACATGCCAAACCTGTTTTTTAAACTGTTGAAATTTCTATGTGCACTGACAGCAACTACATTAAATAACACTGAAATTCATGATTACTCCATGTAAACTTTCAATAGCTGAAAAGTGAATATGCCCTTTCATTGTTGACAGCTAAATCAATGATTTTCAGTCATACAGGATAATTTTTAAAACAACTGTAAAAAATAATCAGCAATGTTACTAAATGAAGTCTCCTCAAGAAATTTAACTAAATATCTCCAAAAATTTCACATAAAATACATCGTACGGAATACCGTTCTATCTTTACCACATTCTTTCTTTAGAAACTCCCAGCTCTCCAGCCAGTCCTATATTTTCCACTTTTGATACAGTCAGCATTGCAAACTTGATCAAATAACATTATTTCTTCCTCCTTATATTAGGCATCTGTAAAGGTGATAATTATGTGCAATATCTAGAAGATGAATATATAAGTAATGTTTCAATTTTGTCTTAGCAGGTGAACATTTTGTAGCACATCTACTTAACCCTTAAACTGCTGATGACATAAATTTATCACAGAATTCTAGGACCTCCAAAATGGTGCCAATTGGCCTGGTTAGGACTACATCAGAGACAGCAGGTCTGTGCAATAGGTGTGTGCAATATAAAAAGATTGCATTGTGTGCAGGGCATTGTGGAAACCAATAAATTGTATGACATTTATATAGGTTTACATGTTTTTATTGTTTACATTGGATTAATCTGACTGAACAATAAATATAAGTGAAACATGATATGAAAATTCATGGTCCATGAAAAATTAGAAAAAATTGGAAAAAAAAAGTACCAAAAATTTAAAACGTAGCAACTTCCTTCACACAGCAAATAACTCATGTTGCCACAAAACGAACACAAATGTCACCTTCAAACCTTCATATCTCCATTAAATAGTAATCAGACCACTCATTCTTCACTTACTGCACTTCCAAAATAAGGGAATTTTTTTTTTTTGGGGTAAGATAAAAATGTAATTTTTTTTTTTTCAAAATCACCAGGACTGAAGGCACATTTGTTGTAGACCCTTCAGCAGTTTAAGGGTTAATATATCACTATATCAAGTAGTTCTAAATAACATTACTATACCAAAGTTAATAGTTGCAACATTGTTATCTTTAGTCATGCTACATACTGTATAGAATGTGACAAGTGGTGTTTGTAGTGGATCACTCAATCAAATCAGTGTAGTACTGGTATTCAAAAACTTTAAATACTTCTAAGATGTTTGAAATACATTTATGGTAAATGTAAAGCAATTATCAACCACAATACTATTTAGCTGGTTCCTGTACATTATATAGAAGTACCAAATATATTATCCAGAGAGAATATAAAGTTACATTAACATTACTGTATTTTTCTCAAGTGCACCGAGAAAAAACAGAAGATCCTCTTAACACACAATAATGGCAAGGGGACCCTATCATTGATTCATTCACAGCTACCCTTACTTTACCACCTTTTTCTCAATAGAAACAATAAACTCAGTAAGCATTCAACATCATAACACTTTAATACACCACATACGAGTAAGTAGTAATAAATAATGACCATCTATATACTGTACCAGTTTTAATAGTTCTTTCAGAACCACATATGGATATATTGTACTATACAGTTAAACCAAGAAATTACTTTAAATTTACCAAAGAAACATTTCCATTGTCATATACAGTGATCCTGCACATCTAAGGAAGTCCTGATAAATAACTATTCTACTTATGAACAATTAATAAATATGCTCTCTGACAACTTTTATATAAGCCTTAATCTATTTTCCTCTGAACGGGTTTGAGCAAATGAGCCATAACTACCAAGAAATTTAAGTTAAATGACCAAATAAATAATATTTACATATATCCAGAAATAGCTAAATATAAACTAATGGGCCAAGAAAGTCTGCATTGGGCAGACATCATATAAAGGCTGCTCTTCTGGTTACCTATAGAGAAAATTCTTATTTTAGGGCAGATTTAAGAATGAAATCTAATCATAATTTAACATTATAATACACACAGTAGACCCCCAGTTTTCGTAATTAATCTGTTCCAGAAGGTTGGCTAAAATCCGAAATGGCCGAAAACCGAAGTAATATTTCCCATAAGAAATAATGCAAATCCAATTAATCCGTTTCAGACACCCAAAAATATTAACAAAAAATACATTTTATAGAGAATAACTTTAGTTTTACATACAGAAAACAATAAGAAATAAATATAAATGACTAATTTTAATGATATATAAACATTACATACCTTTACTTAAAACTCTTGTCAGTGAGTAGTATTTATTTGTAGTCCCAGGTGGACTACATCCCAGGTGTATACCTACTGGCTACATACACTGCAGCCTACAGCCATATTATTATCATCGACATACCATGTTCACTGAGTTTAATAGTTTCCAACAACTACCTTTAGATGCCATCATAAACAAAGGGAGAAGTGATGAATAATTCATGCTGAGAATTGTAAACAAAAGCTTATGTATTAAGGGCAGTTACTGGGCCAACACAGATTCATACAGTTTTCTCTAATGCTGGACCAGAGAAAACGTAATGTTTACCCTTCACTGCACATAAACATTACATGTTTATATGCTATGCAACATGTTTCTTGCATCATTTTGAAGAAAATATCATAGATGGATTAATGAAAATGTCTATAATAACGTAAAATAAGACATTTAATGTGCCCAGGAGTGATTATTATTATGTACTATTAGTATTACCATGGCATTAAGACTAGAGAGACACTCTGAGTGAATGAGTAACGAAGGCATGTTTATATGCTATGTAACATGTTTCTTACATAATTTTGAAGAAAATATCATTGATGGATTAATGAAAATGTCTATATTAACATAAAATAAGACACTTAATGTACCCAAGAGTGAGTCACAAACGTATGAGTGGCCCAGGCCACTCATACGTGGTACCAACGATTTCCAAGGGGATGTGCGATATATACATTTACACCCTCTCCTCCCTTGGTGATGTACTCGTTTACTGATGACTCAGACTTACGATGGGCACTCTGACCAGTATGCATACCTAAATAATGTATATTAGAGCTGATTTCCTCTATTCTGTTTATTGTTCGTTAAGTGAGGAGAAACCACGAAACAAGTGGTATTGAATCATTTACCAAACTATGGCAGGCCAGGATTCGACCCCATGACACACTGTTTCACCTCAAGAGACAACATAACGTACATGCCACCCTATCCACTATGCCATTGATCCTACTAGGATTGATGGCATAGTGGATAGGGTGACACGTTGTGTTGTCTCTTGAGGCAGGACAATGTGTCGTGGGGTTGAATCCTGACCTGACGTAGTTTGGTAAATGATTCAATACCACTTGTTTCATGGTTTTGTGGTTTCTCCTCACTTAATGATGGAGTTCTGTTCCTAAGACCTCATCGGTAAACGAATTCGTCGCTAAGTGAGGAGCATACTATAATGGTAATGGGTTTGTGTTAACCATTAATGATATTGTTTTGAATATCACCTCTGCACCATTTATAACATTTCTAGTATATTTTTGAATGTTTATACAGTAGTGTACTGTATGTTTTAATAAACAGAATAGAGGAAATCAGCTCTAATATACATTATTTAGGTATGCATACTGGTCATGACCGTCGTGAGTACATTGCCAAAGGAGGAGAGGCTGTATATATATATATATATATATATATCAATAACAACACTGCGATTAGCTGAGGATTCGAACCCATGTTGTTTTGGCCCACCTCATGGTGAGCAAAATTCACACATGACGCTCTAACCCATAGGACCACACAATCCTACTAGAATGATGCACCCAGCAGGGCTAGGTATTTTACCATCATTCGAGGACATATGGTGATGTGGGTGCCATTGAGCTAATTTCATTCTACTCTCCATTTGGTGTACTAGCCTCATGAGCAGCATATATATATAATGCCTAGGCATAATAGAGGCTCTCTTTGCATTGCAACCCGCTATTGTAAATACAAAATCTCAATGTACTGTTTGCAAAGACATAAAATAAATAAATAAATAAATTGTAACCACAAACAAGTGGTAGTAATCAATAACAACACTGCGACTAGCTGAGGATTCGAACCCATGTCATTTGGGCCCACCTCATGGTGAGTGAAAATCACACATGACGCTGTAACCCACGGAACTATGCAACCCTACAAGAATGTCGCACCCAGCAGAGCTAGGTGTTTTACTGTCATCTGTGGGGGAGTAGAATGAAATTAGCTCAAAGGCACCCACACCACCGTATGCCCTTGAATGACGGTAAAACATCTAGCTTTGCTGGGTGCGTCATTCTTGTAGGATTGTGTGGTCCTGTGGGTTAAAGCGTCATGTGTGATTTTCGCTCACCATGATGTGGGCCAAAACAACATGGGTTCGTATCTTCCTTTTTCATCAATCTCCGTTATCACTGATTTCCATTTTTGCTGACCTTTTTTGCCAAAATATTGGTTCCATTTTTGTCGATTTCTTCCATTCTTGTCGATGGTATGGAACCTGTCCAGTGCCCAGCCCGCAGACAAAGCCACCTCCCACACATTCTCAGGCAGTGTCGTGTTGTTTCTTGATGAGTGAACATATCCTGCAAGATCATACAAAACTTTTCATAATAATCCATTGTTTTGGCACTTGTTTATTGTGTGTGACTGCTAAATAAGCCACCTTGGCCCCACAAAAAAGCTCCTAGTGCCAGTCCTTTGGTAAAGAAAATGAGGAACACCGCAGAAATGAAAAAAGAAATCATTCAAAAATATGATAGTGGCATATGTATCACCGAACTCAGCAGGATGTATGGGAAGGCACTATCAAAAATCAGCTCCATTGTGGCAAAGAGAAAAGAAATCATGGAAGCTGATGTTGCGAAGGGGGTGAATGAGATAACGAAACAGAGATCCCAAACAACTGAAGAAGTGGAGAAATTGCTGTTGGTGTGGATCAGAGAGAAAGAGTTAGCAGGAGATAGTGCTGTGCAGTCAATAATTTGTGAAAAGGCAAGGCAGTTGCATGACGCTCTCATAAAGAAACTGCCTGGAATGAGTGCTGATGTTGACGAATTTAAGGCCAGCAAAGGCTGGTTCGAAAAATTCAAGAAGATAAGTGGCATACACAGTGTTGTAAGGCATGGTGAGGGTGCCAGTTCAGATAAATATGCGGCTGAAAAATTTGTGCGGGAATTCAAAGGTTAAGTAGAGGCTGAATAATTCCAACCCCAACAAGTGTTCAATTGTGATGAAACAGGCCTGTTTTGGAAGAAAATGCCAGAGGACCTACATCAAGCAGGAGGAAAAGGCACTCCCAGGGCACAAGCCTATGAAAGACAGGCTAACTCTCTTGTTGTGTGATAATGCTGGTGGGGATTTCAAAGTGAAGCTTTTACTGGTGTATCACTCTGAAAATCCCAGTGTGTTCAAGAAAAACTGTCATCAAGAGTAAATTATGTGTGATGTTGAAGGCTAACAGTAGGGCATGGGTCACAAGGGAAATTTTCCTGGAATGGTTCAATGAAGTGTTTGGCCCCAGTGTGAAAAAATACTTCCTGGATAATAAATTGCCACTCCAGTGCCTCCTGTTAATGGACAATGCTCCTGCTCATCCTCCAGACTTGGAAGACCAATTGTCTAAGGAATTCAGTTTTGTAACAGTGAAGTTCTTGCTTCCTAACACCACTCTTCTCATCTTGCCCATGGACCAGCAGATCACTGCAAACTTCAAAAAAACTTTACACCAAAGCAATGTTTCAAAAGTGCTTTGACATAATCTCAGACTCTGAATTGACCCTAAGAGAGTTCTGGAGGAATCACTTCAATATCTTCCACTGTATAAGCCTTATAGATAAGGCTTGGCAGGGAGTGACTTCCAGGATGATGAATTCTGCTTGGGGAAAATTGTGGCCAAATTGTGTCCAAGAGAAGGATTTTGAAGGATTTGAGGCTGACCCTGTCAACCCTACACCTGTTGTATACTTATGCAATCAATTGTGGCATTGGGGAATTCCATGGGGTTGGATGTGAGTGGCTAGGCTGTGGAAGAATTGGTGAAGTACCACGATCAAGAGCTAATCACTGATGAGCTGCAAGAGCTTCATCTGCAACAGCAACAGACCACAGCTCAGGAAATTGTTTCAGAGGAGGAAGAGAGATGGAAAAGGTGCCTTCTTCAGAGATTAAGGAGATTTGTGCAATGTGGACTAGGGTGCATTTATTTGTGGAGGAATATCACCCTGAGAAAGCTGTTGCAAACCATGCTGGTGACTTTTACAATGGCAATGCCATGTCCCATTTTAGACAAATCTTCAAGAGATGCCAGAAACAGACCTAGCTGGACAGATATTTTGTGCAACAGGCGTCCAGTGACTCTCAAAGGAGGGAAGTGACCCCGGATAAGGACTTGGTATCTAGAGTCCTTATGGAGGGGGATTCCCCTTCCAAACAATAGCCTCTCTTCCCTCTCCCCTCCTCCCTGTCTTCCATCCATCAACAACAGCCTTCAATAACAGTGTCATGTTGAATGTTCATTCTTTTGTGCATGTAAATCTATCTTTAAGGTAAAAAAAATTTTTTTTTGTTAATACTACTGGGTGTCTGGAATGGATTATGTAATTGGATTTACATTAATTCTTATGGGGAAAATTGTTTCCATTTTTGCCAATTTCCATTTTCGCCGATTGCTCCGGAATGGATTAAACACGAAAACCGAGGGTCCACTGTATATATATATATATATATATATATATATATATATATATATATATATATATATATATATATATATATATATATATATATATATATACACACACACACACATGCATACATGTGATGTATCATCATCATTGTTCACAAACAAACCATTTCCAGTTTAAATAGTACAGCTACCTCCACCTAATGTGGATATGATAAAATAGAATCCTTCTGGGAAGTAAACTAATAACCAGTACAGCAGCCAACTATTTTAGAGAGATGTTTTGGCTTTTAAAGAGCTGAGAAACATTCCTGTTTTAATAGATGGAAATTTCATAAACAATCAGGGACTGTTCAAAGCTCCTGCAATGTATACTGTGTAAAGACAGCAGCACCAATGACAAGCCCCTTGTGTAATCTAGGATTAAGTGGGCATCCTGCAGTGACCAACTACAACTTGCCATTATCCTAACTGTTAGGACTGGTGGAGTCTTCCAGTGACCTCACACAACCTTTCCTGCCATCCAAGATGCCCACACTGTTACTGTTCTGCACTTTCCTTGTCAAGTCACTCCTGGCATCAAAATTATCAGTCCTACATAGAGCTTAAACAACCTTGTTTCTCCTACAGTTTTCATGTTATCATTATGTGTGTCCCCTAGTCACCTCACAGTACTTGTCCTACAACTAGATATTCCTGTATATTAAGGGGTAAATAATATGTGGCCTATGTAAAATATTCTGTGTATCTTAAATATCTACTCTCTGCCATCTGGAATGGT